CTGCCCGCTCGGCGGCGGCCGCCGCTCCGGCGGCTCCCTCGCTCCGCGGCGCGAAGTTTGCTGCCGCCGCCGCTGCTGCTGCTGCAGCGCCGCCGCCGCCGCCGCCGCCGCCGGCGCCCCTCCTCTTTCGCTCTCCTCTCCCCGCCGCTCCTCGGAGCTGAGGGAGGTCGCTGGACTTGGCGCGCGCGCCCGCTCGCCCGCGCGCGTGCGAGGAGAGCGTATTTATTTTTCGCGAGCCAGGATCCTTCTGCGCGGGGGGCTCGTTTTCGTTTTGATGCCGCGCCTCCTCCGCCCCCCTCGGCGTTGTCTCCTCTCTCCGCCCGCCGCCGCCGCTGCCGCTGCGGAAGAAAAGGCAGAAGGAGGCTGTTTTGGGGAGGGGGCCGCTGGATGTGTGCCTCCGCGCCTCTCTCTCCTAGGGGCACACGGTAGCCCCTGCGAGGAAGGGGGCGGCCGGCTGCTTTTTGTGTCGGGACACCCTTGCAGCCCTGCGCCCCGGCACCGGACGCCCGCAATCCACCTGTCTTGAGGATTTAATACTACTACTAATAATAAGAATAATTGCTATTCTCGCTCGCTTGGACTTGAAGACGTTGTTGGAAACTGTGAAGGATTTATCCCCGATTATTATTATTTTTAATCGCATTATTGCTGAAAAGGAGCCCTTTTATTTTTCGAAGCCTGCATTTTTTTTAAATTCCCACCCTCGCCTCTTCAGTATCCCGTGCATTTTCCCCACCTCTCCTCTGCTTGAGGGGGAGAAACCGAGAGCCACGAGGAGCAAAAGGAATATGAGGGTTCCTTGGTTCACTTTCGCCTTCCTTTGGGGCACTTTCTGCACACGTAAGTAGCAAGAAAGTTTGCGAGGGTCGCCGCAGCCTCCCCCGGGTAGTTTGTTTGCTGCTCTTTGAAGAAAGGTGCAGGAATGAAATACCTCTTTAAATAGAAAAGCTACTGGATTAAAAAAAAATCCTGGAAATATCCAAAACGGGAAAAGTTAATTCAGTTTAGTGGGTTTTGAAAAGGGGGAAAGCAAAACAGCAAAACTTTGCATTGCTGGTGGCCATCGTGCTTTTTTCTGGGGAGGGGGTATTTTCGCCTCTTTCCCTTTCTTTCCGCCGCCTGCTTGCACGGCAAGGCGAGGAGGCTCGAAGGATGCCATTTGATCAGATCAGGAGGGTGGTTTGGGGGAGAGTTTTGGGGGTCCCCGGGCGCGTGCTTTGAGAAACAAAGATAACCGTTGACATCAGTTGGAAAATAGGCATGTGGGGCGGAGAATCGGACCGTGCGGAGCTCGCCCCTTCGCTTCTGGTGTGCCATGTGTTTTCACCTTCTTCGCTGGAGATAACCGTCTTTACCCGGGGAGAAAGCGCACGCAAGCACGCGCGCACACGCACTCACACGCGCGCGCGGAACTCGAGGCCTGGGCATTGCGCGGCGCGCTTTCGGAGCGTTACGTGTCCCTTTTGTTTTTAAACACGGATCTTCCCCGCCCCGTTAGTTTTCGTCTTGTTCTGGCAGCCCCCTAGGAGTAGGTTTTGCACCCAACTTTTTAAAGACGGTACTTTGCACGGATGTGCTCGGTGTGAAACGGCGTCCGGGAGACTTGACGCGCTTAAATCCACCGCCTTTTCTTCCTCTTTCGAGTGACCGCTCTCCTGGAGGTTTCGTGGGCTGCCTTTGGACAATGGGGTTTATCTTTCTCATGCGCTGATTTTGTATGACTTGGCCAACCGCGGGGCTGGATTGAGCACGCCTTGAAAACCGGTTCGAAACACCGGGGGTTAAATGGTTGGATTGTTATTGTTGTTATTTTGAAGTTGGAAGGCAAAGAGGGCCCTTTCCTTTGTGAACCTTTAAACTTTCGCCCTGGTCCGCTTGCGTGGTTTTGCTTTTTTCCTTAAGCCTCCCTCAGTGGTCACGATGGAAGTTACACATGTAAACACCTGGGTAAAGAAGTGGGAAGAGGCTGGCCAGGCCCTGCTGCAAAGTGACTTTCCCGGAGGAATTCATTTTCTTGCATTGCAGTCGCACGCGGCTGCCGGCTTTTAAAATTTCTCTCCCTTTTGTTCGGGGAGCCCCCTCATTTACATGCGTGCCAGCCTGAACGGTGTCTGGCTTTTTAATTTTTTGTTTCCCCATTGGAGGACGGGGCGGGTGGGTGGCTGGGAGAGATCGCGCCGAGCGGGGGCCGCGCATTGTGGAGCCGTGCCGTGGATGTTTCTCAGCCCAGGGCTGGGACTTTTGTGCCAGACCCTTTCCCTTGTTATGGAAATATTCCTTTATTGTGCCATCCCGCGGATCGGCCGTAAATCTGCTTTGCTCCTCGCGGCCCCCCGGCCCTCTCCCCCCACCGTGGAGGAGGAGGGGCGGGAGGGGGCTGGAGGTGGGAAGGAAGCGGGGGCGGGTTGCGCCCGTCCTCCCCTTTCTCTCGATCCGCCGGCCAGAGCCATTGCTGGGAGGCCAGCCTCGCGTCGGAGGGGCTGCCTGCCCGCTTTTGTTGTCCTCGGCTTCCTCCACCTCCTTGTTTTGATGACTTTAGGGGGTGGGGGAGGGGGCTGGAGAGGCGGGCGGGCGGGCAGCGGGGGAGCGCGGGCTCGCCCTTGGGGGGCTTGCAGAAGCGTCGCCGCTCGCGGAGCCGAAGACGCGCGCGCGCACACGCACGCACGCACACACACCCGGCACACACACACACACACACACACCCCCCCCCCCCCACACATATCTCGTGGCCACGGCATAATAATAACAGGCGGTGACGTAAGGGCCCGGCCCCAGCGCCGAGCGTGGAGGGATCGATTTGTATCCTCTCGGAGCGGCAGAGCCCTCGTTCCCAGCCATGCATGGCCACCCCTGGGCGCCTTCTCAGGCTTGCCACGGAGAGGGAAGGGCCGAGCTTTGTATTTCCAGAGCACACCTGGCAGGAGCTGCGCCCCCCCCGGCTTGTTTTCCTTCCTCACCTCCTCCTCCCGCCCCCCCCACCCCCTTCCCAGCAAGAGCATAGCAAATGTTTTTGGCTCTGCGTGCTTGTGTTGCATAAGATCACGGTAGACTGTTGTTTTCCAGCTGGGTGGGGTGGGGGTGCTGCGGTTGCTCCCCCTTTTTACATGCTGCCATGTAGCTTAAGTTGAAGGGAGCCCCGCATTTCCTTTCCTAAATGTTACTTGGGGCTCTCGTTGAATGATGGATCAGCAGCCAGGGATGCAAGAAGAAAGCTTAGTCCCATAAACCATGATACATGGGAATCATGCTTTCCCCTTGAGCCATTCCTTTCTTCCTGATTTCCCTTTGTGGGTTTGTTTTGGAATGTGTTTCAAAATCTTGGGGAGGGTTTTAAACCAGCAAAGTGGAGGCAACAGCGGCTGGTGCTTAGCTGCCGTTTCTTTGTTCAGGGTACCGATTATATATTCACTGTCACTGCCTTCTCCTTTTTTGTGTGTGTAGTAAACAATGCTATCTCCTCTCTTCTGAACTCCTGGGATTTCCCCCCATCTTCAGTCTAGCGGAAGGTGGAAAGGAACGGTGTCTGCTTTAAACAAACGAACAAACAAACACAAATGCGAGTTGTTGTTGGGATCAAAGCAGCCTAGTATTTGTCTAACCGATTGTGCATTTGCATAGATCTTTGTCTCCTGTGCCTGTGAAGGGGCAGTGGTCTGCATTGCCTAGAGATTTCTGGAAGAAGCGGGATACCTTGGGACAATAACATTAGGGTGTGTGTATTTATGTGTGCTTCCCGTAAGGGAATCCAGTCTGCATATTATTGCAAACTTCTACTTGCTGGAAACAGAATTTGTACAAAGGGAATAAATTTAGCCAATCTGCCTCCCCATCTGACTTTTTTTTTTTTAGCTTTCTTTCTGTGCACTTAATGACACACACTTAAAAGATCCTGTATCTTCTGCTTTTGTTGCTGCTGCTGTTCAAACCATAAACTGCTTTTGAAAAGAAATATAGAATAGTACATATATTTGTATCTACAGTTCAAACGAATTTAAAAGTTACCTTTTAGAAAGTTTGCTTGCAGTGGGTATGCTTATATTGGCTTTTTGGAAATAAAATTTAAAGGGGAAAAAGGAAAACATGTACACAAATGTACATCAGGCAAACTGAGAATCTTCCCAGTGTGGACGATTATATTGTAGAGCAAGAGAGTGTGTGAGCAGTGGTGTGCCTGCATCTTTTTTTATGAATGGCCTCTGTTGTCTTTTTCATGTGGAAATGGTGTTTTTGTTTTGTAGCTGTCTTGTAATGCTTAGTTGGAAAAATGCAACTGAAGTTCTAAGGTATTGATGGGAAGACATAGGTCTTTTGTGTGTGGAATGCTGTTTTTAGCACTCTAAGAAAGACTGGGCTTTTTAGAAACAGCTTGACCTCAGTTGCATGCATGAGCCTCATTTCTAGTAATACTTTGGCTAACAGTTGTGAAGCAAACAAACAGAAAAGCAGACTGCCACTTTTCTGTAACAAAACAGAACAGTGTATTTTTTAGTATTCGAAGATTTGTTGATGAAAACATTATGTTCATTGCTTGTGTTTTGTTTGCATATTTTCCTGCAGTCCAAATGTTCTGAAATTGTGTTACTCTCCCCCTCTCAATCCCCACCCTCAGTGGAAGCATGGATTATAGGAAAATGAATTCTGCTGCAAACCCACATTTTGGTGCAATATTGCAGAATTTAGGTATATGTATTGGTGAGCACTTCACTAAACAGTAATGAATTGAATTCCAAGCAGTAAGTCTACACCTTTCCCAGAGCCCTGCATTTATCCTCTTGTGGTTGAGAAAAGAAATGAGACCAGCTTCATTAGCTTGCTAATTAAACACAATGAAGTGCTGTGCCAAGGTTAATGGTGCTGGTCTTTAAAAACACAAAACTCTTGAACTAGTGTCCAGAATCCTATTAACAAAAATCTATTGTTAGGTATAGATTATGCCACTCTAGATATCAGGGCTCTTGACTGGTAGTAGCACTTGCATTAAAAGGAGTTTATGAATGCATAATGTTAAGGTGGCAACACATTTGCCAATGGGGAAGAAACCCCATTGGACTGGAAGTAAGCAGACATGCTTAAGTCCATGGCTTAACTTAGATTAAGGTCATGTTCTTTTCCTGTTCTTTGGGACAGGTAACAACAATATTAACAACCATCCACTGAGATTACAATTGCCCATGGGAATTTGTTACAGTTGTTAAATAGAACCTGCAGTGTAAGAACAGTGTATCTTAGATGACTAGCTGCTTAGGACAAGTGGCAGAGAATGGCGGTCACCCTCCTGTCCTGCTTGGGAGCTTTTCGAGACATGTGTGCAGCTGACCACTGTTGGAAACAGTAAACCCTGGTTTGATCTCAGGGTTCTTACGTGCTTATCTGATCCATTCTTCTATGGATTTTTGAAAGATATGTCACTACAATTCCTCTTTTCAGGACTCTGAAGGAGGTAGTAGGGAAATAAAAATAGCCTAAGGGAAGGCCATAAATCTATTTGGAAACTACCAAATGAGACAGAAAATCAGTTCTACCCTTCTCTTAACTGTGGGAAAGGAACATTAGATTTTGGTTATCTTAGGGAGCAATTTTGTGCATGTTTAGATAGAAAGAAGGGCTACAAATCCCATGCTGGTGGTAGCATCCTGGAAGTGATAGTCCATTTTCTGTTTAAAGGTGCCTCGAAACTGTCCACCAGGTAGCTGTACTGCACAGTTTGGAGTGTGGTGGAAGTTAAATGAAGTGGAAGTTGGTTACGTTTTTAGCCAGTGGTGGGGAGTGTTGAGAATGCATTTTCTTTGGCCACATTGATTAATTTAACTGCATATTCCAATTCTCAGCCATCTCTCCAC